TTTTCAGGCTTGTACAATGTTAAATCTATTTCTACTGGCTAGATTTTGCAAATTTGAAAAATCCACACTGCTCCTAATCATAAGAGAAAACTATTTTTCTGAGCAAGGAAGTTGACCAGCTTGTCACATAATACTATCCATCCTCGTATTGTAAATATGACACCCTAAATTATAATAGCTGGAATGGACAGCACTTTCCCCTGTGGCATTTTCTCAAAATCTATCACTTTCAGAATTTTTCTTGCTTGGTCAGAAGTTCCAATAAGTTCAAGATATTGAGAAATACTATGAAAAATTAAATCAAAACCAGAATTATTTATATTGTTTGGACTGTTATTGCCATATTCACAATGTTTCAGCTGTTGTACACTCCAGCCTTTTTCAGGTGATTGGAATTTTGAACTGAACCCTTTATTTGTTCCATCAGGTCAGATTAAAGACAAGGACAACAGCCTAAACAATGTAAATAATTAAAAATACCTCATCTCGGAAATGTCAACAGACAGAACCAGAATTGTTGTTTTCTAATGGAATGCATAAATTAACCAAAATGTGGTGTAACATTGTAGAAATTTAGGAGAAATACTTTACTGATGATAGGAATTTATATGAATAAAAGATTTTGTCATATAAATACTGAGGAGCTTTGCATGCATTCCTAAAATATTGTAAAGCTAAGTTGCGCAATGACATCCTCAATCTGCCATGAGCTTTTAGGAAAAGTCAATAAAGATTAGATTTGTTTCATGTCTATATTTTTCAACTGTCATTATTAGAACTAGTTTATTTAAAAACATTATAATTAGTAAAAAAAATGTTTGTTAAATTTGTTATTTTACAAATATTGAGTTAATGTGAATATAGTGAAGTTTCAAAAATACTATGGCTGGGGACATCATTGGTTGATGAGACTCTTCTTTGAATATTTCCAACTGTTAGGATCAAGTAGCTATCTTAATAAAAAAAAAATGGTAATAATTTAATCCTGATAAAATAAGTGTTAATAATGGATTGGGTGATAAATTTATAATTGACAATGCCATTAGATTTTGTCAATGCAAAAATTAAAAAAAAAATCAATGTTGATTTTAACTTTCCATCCAGTGGAGATTGTATTTTTCCATCAGTATTAAAACTTTGAAAATCAATAAAAAAAATTTAAAAAAAACCTGGAAAAATGGCACATTTCTGTTCTCCTGTGCCAAAAATTGTGTGTGTGATAAGAAAAACACTCTGGTTGACTTTCTCTAGATAAAATGACCTTTCTTTTTACATCCATCAAGATTGGTATGGATATCTAAGAAAAAATATTTGAGGCAATGGTTTCAATTTCATCAAAAACATTTAAATAATTGAGTGCCCCTTCCCTTCATTGATAATGGTTAAAGTACTTAATAGACTTAATCTATTAAGAACTTTAGCCATTAATTTGTTGTTTGTTCTTTTGGCACCAGTCTGATCAAAGAGCTGAGTGGTACTAAACATCACTTATTGATTCATATTTTGAAAAAGATTTTGTAATTTTCCTTTGTAATTTTTTATTCAAAGTTAGCATTTCTAGAAAATGTTGTTGTATACAGAATTAAAGTAGTTCAGTGGAGCAGAAAACTAATTCTTTGAAAGTAAAATAATTGTAATTCTTTATATTTAATATTTAAGCAATAAATAAAAGTACAAGGTTTTTACTTGACAGATAAGTTTGTTTATTTTTTGGGGGTTTTTTTATGTAGAGGAAGGTAAATTTATTCTATAAAGCTGCATTGTCTATTCTCATGCTTTCGTTTAAAACCAAGAAAAATACAATAATCAGGTGATCTGTTCAGCCTCATGCTAATGAAGTTGGTTATTCACTATAGCAATGGCACAAATTTGAATTGAAAACATCAAATTACTTACTCTTGCTTATCTCTATTTTAGTTGTTTTTCATCAGTGAACTTTTGTCTTAAATCAAGTAGCCATTTTGCTTGAACATTGAAACATATTTTCCAGTATATGAATATTCACTGGTATATAACACCTATGATTGGGCTAAGTGCTATAAGAAAAAAGTAATCTAATTTATAATCATTTTCACCCAACCACATTACCTTGATCATTTAGGCTGACTGTTGCACTGGGCTGCTCTGATATTTGACTCACAAGATGGCAGGGTGAAGAGATAGATTCATGCCAAGGGTAATTTGTATGAAAGTGGACGCAACAACTTCAGCTGGAATTTTAACTCTGCACACCAATGCCACTCTCTGAACCAATAACTGCTAGGCTACCTACACATCCATTCAAAAACAACAGTTTCTGAAACAGTATTTAATATTCTTTTTCTGCTTTTTAAATAAGACTAATATTTAAACAATAAATATTTTGGTGAACAAGACGTATAGATGGCAGTCATTTCTATCCCTATATAAAGCATGACCAACTTTAGTATATGCATTTGTGCGTTTTCTTAAGTGTACATTAAGTTCTTAAATGATAATGTTTGACCATTGGTGATATTTTGTTATCTGGGTAAAAACATCTTCCAAAGGCTTATTGCTACATCATGTTGAAACACTGGTTCATATATGATCAACAAAGTTAAGCAGCATCGAGCCTGGTCACTACCTAGATGGATGACCATTTGGGAATATCAGGTGCTGTAAGCTTGGATGTATGGGGAGGGGGAATTGTCAGTTGGAGGGCTGAGTTCCAATTCTTGTTGGGTTTGCTATGTTAACTTACGTGCAAATACCTTTGGGGAAAATATGGATCCACCTCCTTTCTCCTCCCAACTATGGATTAATTAGTAACATTTATATCACTACCCCACCCCACCCCACCCCAAACAAAAAAAGATTCTTAAATTCTGCTAAAGGGATGATAAACTGGAGAAAACAAATCAACACCTTTCAAAACAAAATTTTGAATTTTTGTCTGAAAATATCTTTCAGGGGTTCACATTTTTACATATTTCTTTTAAGTCTTTGACAGAGGGAGAGAGAGACTGAAATAATATGTTTTAACTCTTTGAACCCTGACTCCCCCTGTTGAGTACGGATTTCCCACCATGGGCCCGTGCTGGGTATGTGCATTTTCACATACTGCATTCAAAGGGTTAATTTCAAATTGAACTATGGTGATCTTATGACCGTATAGGCTGGCACCACCTATTGTACCCTTTTTTTTCTGCCCATTTATTCTCACATATTGATTTTACCTCTAATGACCTTGAAGGTTGAATTTTGCCTCATCTTCTCTGCAATTTTGTACTTCATTGCAAATTTAATGTATCACTCAATTTTGCTAGAAATTGTATATACTTTTGAAGGCACTCAAAGCTAGTTTGATCCCTGACTCTTTCTGTATGGTCTGGATGTCCAAACATGTACACAACATTCAGCCTGGTCATAAAATATCCAAGAAAATCTATCTAAAATATATGGTGTATATAAAATCAACAAATGTTGGCATTATCCCCCCCCCCCCAAAAAAAAACAATGCTCAATGTAGCATATGAGAAGATACAGAGTAAGGTATCAATGATTATAAAGGTACTTGACCTTTCTGCTGCTTTTACTAACTTTCCTGAAAGGTCACGTTAAGTACCTTTTATCATCATTGATACACACACACACACACACACTTGAGAAGTGCTTGTTTTTTCTGTTTGGCATACAAAGTGAAATCATTTCATGTACAACCCCCAAATTTGGTATGTGTATTTATTGAACCCAGAGAAAAGTTTTAATATTATAGGGAAACAATTGGGGGAGTTTTCCTTTTTCTTTAGCAATAACAATTATCATTTGTAATTGTTTGGTGTAAGACTATAATTTCCTTTATTAATGTATTTCATAAGAACTTATAATCCCTCCCCACAATATATTTTCTGATCTTTATATTGATTCATTGAAAATTTACAATGAACAGATGAATTCTCTCTCTTCTCCTTTTTTCACACTACTAATTGCTGTCTATACATTTGTAAAAATTGTAAAATAAACATTTCTTAGTTGTAAATTTCAATTTTTCACCTTCAGTAAGAGGTTATGTGGGATTGAAGCTGTGATTTTAATTCTTGCCATCTTACCTGGAATAGATGAGGATTTCACCTGCTTTTTTGAATTCTGATTAGACCCGTGAGCATATGTCATTAAGCATAGTACAAGATGGATGGCATGGTCTTGTCAATTTACAGTTGAAATTGCTAGATATAACCACAAGTTCTATGTTAACAATGTTTTCTTTTGCACTTCTCATGTGTGCAAGCTTAATTCCCAGTCAAATTTCAATTTAAATATTGTCTGTTCCTGTTCTTTTATTATTCTTATTTTTTTTTTCTCTCATTCTCTAACACTCAGTAATCCCTTGCATCTTAGTGGATTTATTGCCTTGCTTGGAGTGAAATGATGAAAAAAATGTAAGCAAACATATGCCTTCTTGGATTTTTAGAAAGAATTTATAATGAAATGATGAGTTTTTTTTTTTTTTTTTTTTTTGAAACTTTGAACAGCACTATCTTCCTCAGGAAGTGGAGACAAATATGAGAACATTTTCATAATGTACGTAGAATTGAATGAATTCATTGATACAACGGGAACCAACTGGAAACCATCCTGGGTAAGACAATAAACTACATCCGACAGTAAGGTTTTGAGGAGTGTGGAACCACTTCTTAATTGCTGGTGTTCCCAGGTCCACCCTGATCCGAGGTGGTAGCACCTGTTAGGGTCCCAGCTATGGGCAAATACTTAACCCCACCAAACTGGGGTCAAAACATGTAATAAATTTTTGAAGAAAAAATTATTATCAGCAATACATTATTACCAAAATACTTTTTCAAAAAAAAAATATCACTAGCACTAAAAATCTTGTCAGTATTAAATAGCCCATTATGGTTGATATGCTGTAAACCAAACCAAAACCAACTGGAAACTATACACACACACAGCCTTCTGTAATTTCTCATTAAATCCACCCGAGAAATAAGGTATTTTTATTGTTTTCTTTCTCATTTCAGATGGGGCAGAACTTGTATTGACACCAAGCATTGAACAAGAAAAATCTGCTGGTGGGAATTTTGTCATAAATTGTGCTGTTAAAGATTTCAATGTTATACCTAAGTGGTACAATCCTAATGGGGAGGAGATTAAGCTAAACAATCGGTAATTATACTTTGTCTTTATTTGTTCACTTAATTTGTAAATGGTGTTATCTAAAGAATACAATATTACTGCTTTGAGAGATAGGATTCTGCACTCATTCCCAAAGTGTGAAGCTAAATATAAACTTGGATGAGAATCTTGTCTGAATAACTAACATATTACACTATAACTGAGAATTGCTTATTTTTTATTTTTCAAAAACTATTCCAAAGTTATTTTCTCTCTCATATTTCTTTATTGGTATTTGTCTTTCAAGCTTTACAAGAATTCTCAAATATACAAAACAATTAAAAATAATAAAGTTCAGATTCACAAAAATCAAATTTTGATTTCTCTAAAGAACCATAAATATATATATTTTTACAGTTTGGTTTACTCCAATTGTAAAGCTAAAGAAAGATTTTTTTCTTTGTTGATAAATTAGTGTTTTTTTTGTTTTGTTTTGTTTTTTTTTATTACTCTTTTCTTATCATTTTCTTCAAATAATATGTAAGCATAATTTACATTTAATAAAGTTTTCTTCCAGGTAAAAAAAATTGTAGCAGTAGTTACTCAGACTTTTTTTTTTTTTTTTTTTTTTTTTTTTTTTTCCTCAAAATTAGTAATTCTGTTTTTTTGTATACAGATATGTATGTAAAAAAAAAAACTTTTCCAGTTATTCATCTCCTGATTTAATGTTTTATATATCTTTATTTCAGACCAAAGTGAGTTCCACAAATTTGGTATTTTGTATATAAATGCATGTTAACATTGTAACTTCTTTGTAGCTCAAATAAAAACTTAATGTTATAAGAGAAAATAATGCTTGCATTTCTCTTTCTTTCTCTGAAATGTCATAATGCCTACTGCCACATATTTATTAAAAATCAAATATGCAAGGTCTATCATTAGCATTACCCATTACAACTTCTCGTCTCTGTTATCATTTCTTTCAAATAGCATTTTTACCTTTTGTTTTCTTGGTTGTTGACATTTCTTTGCAGATTTTCTCTGAAACTATCAGACATGATCCAATAAATGAAAAATGGATCATGTCTGCTCTTCTGACTAATTCTGCCTTTACACTTTCTGCAATATGTTCTTTTCAGTTCAGTAATAATAATATGTCCAAGAATGCTTCTACCAAAGACAATGCAATGACTTTTCCCTTCATTTAATTAGAACAGCATTTATATGCAGTATAAATAGTTTGGAGGCACATTTCTGAAATCTTCATACACTTACCTTTTGTATCTGCTAAATCTCCCTGTTTCCTCCACTTTCTTAATGTTCTCATCCCATTTCTGTTGTATTTTCTTCACCTGTTACCATTTTCTATGTATCTTTGTGCACAGTGTTGTGATTTTTATGTTAGTTGCTTGCTTTTGTCTCCTCCTCCTCCTCATTCCTGCCATACTTACCTTCATTGTCTTGATCAACTTTTTCCACTCATTGTCTATGTTCCTTCTAAGATGGAATATGATAACCCACCCACCCACAAAAAAGAAAAAAAAAATCAGTAATCAGGCATATTATAAAATAAAGTGTGAAATTGAAATGACTTTATGAAAATATTTTCATTATTCCAACTTTGAGTGAACATTACTCCTCACATGTAAAATGTATTTTGTACTTTTTTTTTTCTTATTTTTGTTCTGACTCCATTATATTGTTTTTCCTGCAATAATCATTTGATAGCAAAACTGTTATTGACCCTCTTTATAATCACCTTCAATATCATCATTAGCATTTACCTATTCCCCTTGCTTTCTTTAATCATAACCAGTTTATGTTGCTTTATCATTTTAACCACTTATCATCATCCATGCTTTTCCATTTGTCATTTAAAAAAAAAAAATTACTTTAGGCATCTGTAGCCTTAAGCTTTATCAATGAGTTAAGATTTTTATTTTTAAATTCACTTTGTCATAATGTAATGAATTAAATTGTAGGTCTTTTGTTTGTTTTTAGATTAAAGACTTCAGTTTGTTTTTAATATTTTGCTATTTACTCAAAATTCTTTCCTAGTTGATTTTATATTTTTCTTTTTCCAGTACCAATCTTCGTACAACCGCCAATAGTGTCAAACTATACCTGCTTAATTTAAAAGCTGAAGACGCAGGGACCTATACCTGCAATGCAACTGTCAATGGCAAATTGTTGGAAAAGATTATAAATTTAAAAATATTTAGTAAGTATTTATTTGCAGTTGGTGTAGGAGATAATTTTCCAACATCTGTTTACTAATACGTTCAAAAAATGTCAATTTTGTGTTAAAGATCTCTCTCTTGAACCAACATTATCTTAAAACAAAATCTTTTCATATATCAAAACAAGTTAATTTGCCCTCTCTCATGTCACCTTTTATAATATTTAAATGACATACTATAAACTGTTTTTGAATGTTTAAAAGAAACTTTCTACAAATAGCACTTTTGCTCTCAAGTAAGTTATCTTTGTAACTTAAAAGATGTTAACACATTGTGTACTTATTCCAGCTCACCTCAAAGCTGATATTTAATTTTTGTATTTAATATTTTTTCAGAAAAGCTTTCTCTCCTGAATTGTGCTGAAATTCAACAGCCTGTTATCAGCACCAATGCTAAAATTAATTGCACAGCCAGCGGTGACCCAGCACCAACTGTCTCATGGCGATACAACGGAAACACTCTACAAACTGGTAAATGTCATTTCACTACGTTACTATTTGAAATTATCTCCCTTTGTTGGCGATATTTAACATTTAACACTGCATCATTTATAAATATTAATTCTCTTTTTACTCGATATGGAATTCCCTCAAAATACAGTGTTTTGTATATTTGAAATTGCAGTAGCCTGGCTCTTAATTTCAGTCAAGATTGTTTTAGGTGTTGCCATAGAACGATATGACTACACAACCAAGAAATTCAAATTCAACTTACATTGGCAGGACTAACATTTTGCTTGGTGAAAAAAGTCATCTACAGAGTACTAACGGTTAAACTTTGTAGAAATTAAGTTTTCCTGGCGGGGGTTGAATCAGTTTTTCATTTTCTTTTTAGAGTAGTTCAGATGAGAAGTTTTAAATGTTTTCAAATAAAAATAAACGTACGATTATGGCAGATTTACCAAGTTTTGTTAAAGACAATTGCTCTGAAAAAGTTCTCAAATGTTTCTTGTTTGAGTTTCTTCTTTATATTTGTCAAGATCTGATGCCAAGATATTATTCCAGATTTTTTTAATTCTGTAAAATTTCTCTGATATTGAAACGTTATTTGTGAAAAACAAAATATATCAGTTTGTTGAATTTTTTTTTTTTTTTTTCTTAACAGGTGGTCGTTACGACATAAAACCAGATGGCCTCGTAATTCGAAATATTAGCGAGGCAGATAATGGGGTATATGAAATTGAAAGTGAGATTACTATTCGATCAGACTTCATTGTTAGAGATATTAAAGTCACTGTCACTAGTAAGTATAAAGTAACGAGTTTCTAAGTTGTTTCCTTTGTCAAATTCTTTATCATTTTCATCACTTTTATTTTTCTATCATACAAAACTTAAAAACACAAGGTATGCTTGAAATATTTCAGAAGGATATTAGAATAATCCAGAATCTATATTGGGAGCAAGAAGAAAAGACTATCAATTGTAAGAAGACAAAATATGTGGTTGCTAGCAAAAAGAAGAGCCCAATACGCAAATTACGTACTGGAACTATTTACACTTATTTACATCGTTCGGACTGTTTTCTTCATGTTTATTGCCATATTCACAACATTTCAGCTGTCGTATGTTCCATCTATGTAAATAGTGTAAACAGGTACAATACCTAATCTTGGAAATTTAGACAGATACAAATTGGAGTTTGAAAAATCAAGCAAGTCCCCAAAAATTGTAATATCTAGGAAGTGTTTTAACAGTGTATGGGAAATGCAACACTCAAATCCGAAAGTGCATTGGGATAGCAAAAGGTTCCCTTCTAAAAGCTAATCAAAGCATTAGCTAATAGGAAAATTCTGTTAGAAAGAAACGAAAAAGTAATGAACTGTTATGTAATATGTTCTCCTATATGGCAGTCAGTGCTAGACAATCTCCTCACAGACAAAGAAAAGACTCGAGGCAACAGAAATGTGATTCTACAGAGGGATTCTGAGGATGCCATGGACTGGACATGTGAGCAACAATGAAATTTTAGGGAAAAGGCAAACAAAAAGGAAACTTATACTTAATATCAGAAAGAGTCGGTTGAAATTTCTAGGGTACATGATGAGGATAGAGGGCTTAGAAAAATTGACACAGGACCTATTAAAGGCAAGACTGACAGAATAACCTACCTAATGAGCTTGTATAAATGGTTGCTGGAACAGGGATTAGGAGAGATAAAAGGCAATATTTACTAAGTGTTACAAAACATAAGAAATTGTGGAGATCTATGATCACCTATGTCCAGAAAGGACACAGCACACATAAATAGTTTGGAAAAAATGTACTGTATATATTCATGTATCATGCTACTTTTAAAGACCTAATTATGAAGCTAATTTTAAGGGGGTCACATCATACACGAGATATAAAATTAGCATATATACTGCAGGCCATGGCTATGCCGTTGTCTAAACTATATATCCATTTAGTCAAAAAGTACAGCCATATTTAAAATAAGCATGGTTTTGATAAAACTGATAATAATGCATATGATATTCACATATTAGTCTCATATAAAATACAAACATAGCGAATATGCATATTTTCCATTGTTTATTATGAAAGATGTTTAGCTGTTTCTCATTCTATTTATGGCTGTATGTGTTTATGCAACGAGTATAGCATTATTAACAATACTTTTAAGATTCTCTATTACTTTTTTTTTTAACGTATTTAATTAGAATATGGAATAAAGAGATAGAGGAAAAGAGGTTAGTCTATTGTAATTTGGTCTCTCAAAAAAGGAACTTGCATGATACACAAGATACAAATCATTTTTATAAGTAAAAATTTGGGGCTCACACGATATGCAAGATCACGCATTACACAAATATATACAGTAGTTTGAAAATAAACCTTACAAATGTGACTTTTTAGTTTTTAATCTGCTGCGATATAATGTAGTATCATGTAAAATGCAGATATTATGTTACATTCAGCACTTTATAACTGCACATGTTATCTATGAAAGTTTCAAATCAACAGTTATGGGATGAGACTTGGATGAATTGGAATGAGTGCTATCATAAAATTAATATTGTAAACTCTTTTAAATACTTTTCTGTTTACATTGCTGTTGTTGGCATCTATCCATCTCAGGAGATGATGGTGTCATTCTTGGTTTTTGGTGGTCAAGGAAAGGGTAAATGTGTAATACCAGCTCTGCTGCAAGAGTTTCCAGGTGATACAGTATGTCATCCAGCCACTTCATTGGCTCCACCCCAAATTTTTGTAGGGTTTACTCCTTATCCTTCTCTTCTCTCAATGATACCTCTTAGACTGGTCGCCTCCTAAAGCAAGAAAGTCCAGTTCATCTTGCTCTATAAACCCGTGGCTGGAAAAAGTAAAAATTCACAAACTGAGTCAGAACTTGTAAATCTGTTTCCACTTTTTGTGCCATCTACACATCTTACTCTGTTACTTACAGGCCAGCATTAACTGAGGAATCTATTTTCTACAAAAAATTGAAATGATTTCTTCAATGTTTTCAGAAAACAGAAATTGGACCCGAAATATTGCAATAAGATCCTACAGTATAACCCCTTTAAAAAAGAAAGATTAAAAAAATGTACTTCTAACTGATCAATACTAAATAACAAACATGGTTATTATTTTTTGTATATTTATTTCAGTGTTAGTATACATGATCGGTGGAAAGAATCTCCCTTTTTAAATTGTTAATAATTTTATTAATTATTGGTTGATTCTTATAAGATACATTTTATTTTGAACAGTATATTGGTAGAAGTACAGTACAGTGTTAAAATTCTACATAGGCACTAGCCTTGTCTACTAGTGTTTGCTATCATCTGGGTATATCCTTGGACATTTCTTGTACCTTTTGCACATTTTTTTCCAATTTGGATATTGAAGGACATATCTACCACAGATCCTATACTCATCAGATTGCAATGACAATTTCTGATGGTTTTGACATTTACTGAAGGATAAGATCTATGAACACTGTGGCACCATCTCTGCACTTGTACCATAGACTGTTATGCATTCATGCAATGTCAGGCATTGTACTATTCTGGTCTACTCTTGTCACTCTGAAATAAAAACAGGTTAGCAATTAAATTCTACCACTCTAGGGATCACAATATATTTTGTTTCATGCAAATGTGGTGATATTAATAAAAGTTATATGTAATTTTTAACAGCTAAGTTACTTTCCACCACACTATATATTATTTTTTATAAAACTTGAATTAAATACATTAATCATGAACAAAAAATGTCTTTTAAGACTTATGTAACTATCTCCTAAAAGTTATTTGTTTTAACTTTATTACATAACATTTTCATTTTAAATTTGCCTCCTGATTACTGCTTCTTTAAATTAAGAAATGATTTTGTCATTAAAAGCTTAGCTTTTTTTTTACAGGTTTGTCTGCAAACAAGTCCACATGAACAAATTTTTTTTAAATTTTTGAACTGAATTAATAAACTTTGTATGAAAATTATTCAGAATTCTAATTTAGTTTCTCTATTTGATGAGATTTTTTTTTAAAATCTCTTTTTGCCATCATTGTAAAGCCTGTTTCTTTGATTCTTTCTTGTTTATTTTTTTTTCCTTTTCAGTTCCACCCGTAATCACTGAACCCCCAGTTATGCTTGATCCAATTAAAGGCTCTGATTTTACAATGACCTGCAAAGCTGATGGAAAACCCAAACCAACATATTCTTGGGTGAAAGTTAGTGATTCATTCTAAACCCCTAATGTTTGAAGAAAATCTTCTTTTTTCTTTTTTTATACAAAATGTGGATACTATCCACTTAGATTTCATCTGCACAAGATATTTTCAAGCCCTATTTCTTGGGCAGTTGCTTCCAACATTTAGGATTTTTTTTTTTTTTTTTTTTTTACATTTGATTATATGCATTAATTGTCCTACTTTCTCCCATTGTTTTCATCATCATCATCCTACATGTTCATGAATAAGACAACCAAAAGTGGCACTAAAGGCCCATGATTTAGTTTTGAAAAATCCAAATCTTTCAGTCTTCTCAAATTAACTGTGGCACAGGACAATAAAATTGCCCTGTGTCTATGACACTAATATTGTCCAAAGCCTGTAATTCCTTATCCTCTCAACAATTAGATGTGATATTTTGGTCATGTGACCTTCATGTACATGAAATTGAGGCTGAACCAACAAAATATCATAATTGGTCCATTTGTGGAAAATTTGTTGTCCCATTGTTGTAAAAATATACTGTCTGGAATATTCAGTATAAAACCCATTTTAACCAAACATTTAGATTTAACCTTTTTTAAATAAATACTAATGACTAATCTAATTTTCTGCAGAATAAGCATAATTTCTTGATAAATTTAGATATATAAACACATGGACAACTTTGACATCATATTTGGACCCAATTTTTGAAGAATTAGGGTCTTTTTTGTATAGAGTTTTTGTTCATTCTAAGTATAATAATAATAAAAAAATCATTGTTTGGTCTTTAGCAAGTTATACAGGAACAAACAAGGATTTTTTTTTTTTTTTTTTTTTTATCTGGAAAATGCTTTGTCCATTAATTGGCACATTTAGGGTTTTGATCCAAATTTATGGTGAAAATACAGTTTTTTAAACCATTTCTAGTATTGTCATGTAAATTAGAACAACATTTAGTAAAAATGACACAAAATAACTTGATTTTTTTTTTTTTTTTTGTTCTTAATTGTGGCCTCCTATGATTCCTTCATTTATGGCCACAATGTTTTCAGCTGATTTATTCTTGGGCTTTCTTCATGTTTGGTCTTTAGAAGAACTTGTTCTTATGGTGTCTTCATTTTGAAGATACAAGGAACCTGCTAACAACCATTTCTTCACACCATGAACCTGATGAAAGCTGAAGAATATATCGGCTAACATGTCAAAAATAAGAAACTTGAAAATGGTAACCCTTGAAATATGTGAAATATATTTTCCCTTTTAAAAGATCTCTCCTCTTTTGCATAGTTTTACATGATGTCCTTTTCTATTTCAGGATGGTATGACCCTAGATGATTCCCGATTTGATATTGATGAATTTGGTGGCTCTTTGAAGATCTCTTCTGTAAAGGAGACGGACAGTGGCACTTATACATGCATTGCCAGCAATGTTGGGGGAACAGCCAAAGCAAAAGCAAAAGTCACTGTTCTCAGTATGTACCTTTTTATTTACTTATATTAAAAACTCTTGCTTGAACTCAGAGAATTTTCTTTTCAGTAGAAGATCAATGTTATTTAAAAAAATATATATATATATATTACCAAATAGTTTGCATTAATTCATGTGTAATTTTTCCCTTTTGGAATTGATGTCCCAATTTCAATATAAATTTTAACATTTGTTGTAATAACTATAATTACTTAATGATGATTATCAAGGCTTGAAATTAACATCATCTTAACTTCCTGATGACAATAAAATATTAAGTTTTTTGTTTTTTGACAATACCAAATTTTTTTATTAAAATTCTTTCATATCTATTATAAAAGTAACTGATTTCTTACACTCCCAACCAACCATAGGGAGACTTTTAATAAACTGAAGACACATACACACCTGTTAAGTGATTCTTTTTAAACAGGTAAATAGTCCAGGGTATGGTGATAAACTACATCCGACAGCAAAGCCTCTGACCAGGAGATTGGAGGTTTTGAGGAGCATGGAACCACCTCTTAATTGCTATTGTTCCCAGGTCCACCTTGACCCGGGGTGGCAGCATCTGTTAGGGTCCCAGGCATGGGCATATAGTAAACACCCCAAAAACAAAACACTGATAGTATAAAAATACATTTTTATAGTAAAAATACCAGCAATACATTTTTATATAAAAAATTACCAACAGTACATATTTATATCAAAATTATCAACAATACGCACATACTAACAAATTGTAGTGACTTCACCCAAATCCATTTAAAATACTACAAAACAACCAGCATAAAAAGCCTTCCATGACATTAATCCATATACTACAATTACTGAAATAAATCAAAATGTATTCAACAAAACTACAACATAAAACACCCATATCACTACCTCTAGTAATTATGTCCAGACAAACATGTATATGCACAAAGCTGAGTATCATCTACCATGTATTCAATTGTGAAAGCAGAATAATATATATCATATTTTTATTACTTCTAAGTTCCCAAGAAAATTAAATTTATTCATTAAATGACACATAAGGAGTTGATACGACATTAAACACAAATCAGTCGACCATTAAACCTGAATGAAAAATGAAGCTTGAAAGACATAAATTTAGATATATAAACACATGGACATGGACTTTGTATCATTTATCTCTGAATGTAAAAGATAATTAAAATCTAATCAAAGAACTCATCTACCTTACCCTTCTAGATGATGAGTGCCCTCAGGTTGGAGTCACAATCTGTCTTGGTTTCAAATTATGTGAGCATCACAGATGAGTTTTAGCACCGGCTGCTATCCAAGGCATGCAGCAATAGACGACATCATCAGAAGAGGTCTGGATGCAGCTGTGTTTCCCTCTCAAATCAAACCCGTAGGCCTTGACCGTGGTGATAGAAAGTGGCTGGATGGGATTACCGTTTTTCCCTTTTAAAGCGGGGAAGTCGTTGATTTGGGATGTGACTTGTGCCAGTACATTTTTTACCAGTAATTTATCAGGTCTGCTGTTGAGCCAGGGTCTGTCACATGGGACACGGAGATAAAAAAATTAGTTAAACACTCCTCTCTTGTGGACAGATTTATTTTTTCTCCAGTGGCAATGGAGACTTCTGAGGTTATTGATCCTTTTTTTGGTGGCGTTCCTTTGGCGGGTTGGCAGGATTGTACCTTGATTAAGGAACTAGCCTCACGAAATGGAGTAGCTCTTGCAACAGATCTTACTAGTGATGGTGTGAGGTAATGCTTTCTCATATTATTGAAGCTGGCAGAGGATAGCTAAAAAAGAAAAAAAAAATTGATTTATACATTGTTCAATTAAAAACGTTGTTTCTCTCAAATAAATGAAACAAGAAAATTATATTTTCTCTCAATTTTTGGTTAAAAATTTTCAATGAACCAACAACATTTATGTGTTATGTTTTCTGCTTATCAATTATTAATCATTTGAAAATACATGAGAGGATTTACAAAATGATAAACAAAATTTAGTCATGACATGAGACAGGTAATTGTAAAGGAAAATATTTGATAAAAATTTTAAAAACTTTTTTAGTTGTGAATAGCATCTGCTAATATTCTTTATATAAGAAACAAATGCATAGATGAGCATTCTCAAAGTCTGATAAAAATTACTCCAAATATGAAAATTAATTAGAACATTCCCAATATCAAATTATTCAGGGAATCCAACTGAAAGAGTTAAATAAAGTTATAATTTTTATAGAAATTACAGTAAATTTTAACTAATTTCTTATTGTATTTATTTATTTTTAAAACCTCAATATTAGCTTTTTAAATGTTGTTTTTCTTCTGCTACTAACAACTATTAATGATAAAAAAATTTTAAAAAACAAAAAAAATCAAGATTTTCATTTCAGTTTTGGGATGATGGTGAAAAAAGTTAATCTGGAACCATGTTAATTATAAAAATTTCCAAAAAAGAAAAAAATAATATTTGGCATGAAATACAATGTCTTTATCAAAATAGCTGCAAATGTTGGTGTTGAAAACTAATTTTTGTATTTTTTTTTTTTTTTTTTTTGGTTGCAGTTCCTCCTACTCTGAAGCCAATGACTAACGAGCAAGCTGAAGAAAATAAACGTGTTACATTGTTGTGTATTGGTGAAGGTGTGCCTCTTCCATCACTCACCTGGCAAAAAGGTAGTGATGCTCCCTTTGCCCAAGGGCCTCAAGCAGTTAGTATGAAGCATAAAACTTCTATTTTTGCTAATTTATCAGGGAAAAGAAATTATTTACTTTATAAAGTTTGAAATTTTTGGTTCAGTATGTTTTATTTATTTTTCATTTTATTTTATTTTTTTAAGTGATCTCTGAATTCTTACTTTTCCTTTCTTTTCAGAGTGACTCTCGTATTGTTGTTAGTGAAAATAAAGGCAAACAGACCAAATTAAAGCTGGTCATCACCTCTCTGAAAGCCGAAGATGCTGCTAACTATACTTGCACTGCTACCAATAGAGCAGGAACTGAGTCGAAAAAAGTGCAGTTACGAATTGATTGTAAGTAAATCATTCCTATCCCTATATTCATGAATTGAATTTCTTGAACCCTGAAAGTTATTGACTTGTAGGCATTATTTTTGCTTTTTTCTAACACTATACTTTCTTCTACTGAATGAAGATCAATTCTATTAAATGAATTAATCTAAGAAATTTAATATCTTAATTTATTAAATTTTAGTTTTAATATTTTAATGTTCAAAATGTTTACAAATTGTCATTCTGTAGTTTTAAAAAAATTGAGCTTAAACTCAGTAACTTTATAAATTATTTCGTGTTTTTTTTTTTTTTTTTTTTTTTCTCCAAGCATTTCAAAATTGCTTTTGGTTATTTATGTTGCCATTAATGTCGAATTTGAATTTACAGATAGCCCACAGTTTGTCAACACACCACTTGTGGCTTACAATTGGATGAACAACAAACGAAATATCAGCTGCAGTGCCAAAGGCCTGCCTAAACCATTGATTAGTTGGCAAACTAAATATGGAAAGATTGGATCAATTGATGAAACCTATAGAATCTTTCAATCCGAGGGTTATGAATTGTCTACAAGTTACTTACAGGTGAGGAGAAACTACTGTTTTTTTTTTTTTGTTACCCTACTCTTAGTCTAGACTAAATGATTACATATCAATATAAATGTTATAAATTTATCAATTGAGCTGATCCCTTTCTTATAATGTCCTCTGCATCAACATTACTGAATTGAGTTTTGCAAATGTCGAAGGACAAGGGGAGATAAATCTGTCATATAGAGAAGAAGAAAAACAAAGTAATGTTTCTGACGCTGTCAGGGTCTATTAAAATGTTCTCATTGATAAACATTGAAACCTAAAATAAGTGTCCATTTTAATAATTTTGACAGTTTACAATAATATATTGTAATATTAGCTATTTCCTTATAAGGAAACATTCAGCATTCATTGACTGAACAGTCAGTGCCACTGTCAGTTGAAATTTATATAATCTTTCTCTTAAAACAATTTTTCAGGAAAATATGTTTCTCAAGTCAAATAGCTGTTATCGTTCTTTCCAGTATTAACGGTTTACCTTAGTAACCTTTTGTTTGAATTAGTGTTGAATGTCAACATCTAGATTGTCATAAGTTAATTTAATAAAAATGTTTCAGTTCTTATTAACCATAATCATTCAATTATACGTGAGCTTAACATTTTTACATGTTAAAATATTGGGAAGAGAAACTTTGTCATTTTTTTTTTTTTTTTTTTTTTTTTTTTTTATGGTTGGAAAAGGCTATTTGGAAAAAAAGACTAATCAGTTAATAAAGCATAATACTTTCAAAAATTATTTTTTCTAGCTTTGAATTATTTCTCGTAATTAAGACTTATTTAGATTTCCTAATTTCACTCTTACACAACCTCAAATAATTTCAGATTTCTGTTCAATGCATCTTAGAATATTCCTAAATTTTTAACTGTATTTGTTCATAAGTTGTTCAATTTTAATGTCATATATTCTACAATCTTTTAGAAATGTATGAAGGTTTATTTGAATTTCTGGAATGAGCAGTTGTCATTATTTGGACTAATGTCCTCATCTTTATGGTTATTATCATAATGTTTCAGCCTACATCTGTTGTCTTTCAATATGGGTAATCTTCAGGGAATTACCATGAAACAGTAAGCTAGTGGATTGAAGCAATAGTTCATGGATTTCGTAGCATAGTAATTGAGTTCAATTCATGGGCTGGGTCGTACAGATTTGACTCAATGGAAACAGAGTAAGCAATAACTGAGCAATGCAAAAAAAAAAAAATAAGATACCCTTAGATATCAGCAGTAAAGCAAGAATGATCTACTGGAGATTAAATAAATGGTTCATTTTGAAATTCCCTGAAGGTTATGTAGATTGATAGAAACCTGAAGGTCTATGCGCATAATGGTTGAAACTTGATGATATCAACATTTATGAGAACATGAACCTAAATTTAAATATTGTATGAGGCTATTTTTATGAGTTAGCTCGCTGGGAGGTTGAATTTGAGAAATTGTAGCGGGGTAGTTTTAAATCTAAAGTTCTGTCCCAGGTATTATGATAAACTACATCTGACAGCAAGGCTTCTGAAGAGTAGATTGAAGGTTTTGAGGAGCGTGGAACTACCTTTTAATTGCTGTTGTTTTCAAGCCCACTCTTACCCAGGGTGCTAGCACCTGTTTGGGTCCCAGCTTTGGGCAAATAGAGACACTCCGCCTCAACCAAAAAATCAACAGTGGAGTATTATAATAAAATGACCACCAGTACATTTTTATAGCAAAATAACAATCAATACAACACTAATGAAAGTGTTAAAATAGGATCTTGCACAATAAACTGAGTGACAGCAATTCACCAGAAAATATTCATTGAGGACAAATTTCAATAAAGTTAAATAATGCCTAAAAGTTGATCCACTGTGGCAGGAAGGGAAACAAGCCTGCTACTGCCATTGCTTAGAACACATCCATTAAGCTGAGGAGTAGAAGTTTACTTTCTTCAGAAGTTTTTTTTAGCCAAGAATGGTGAGTTCAATCCTAGGTAGGACCACAAGAGTCAGCATAGTTAAATAAAGTATAAAAATACATTTTTATAGTTAAATGACCAAGAATACATTTTTATAGTAAAATTACCAACAATACATTTTATCATCTACAAACTATATATCTAAAAATTATATGCTTATCCTGAAATTATGTACAAAATATCAGTAGTTGGATGCATAAAATTCCCTACAAAATATTAAGATTCTGGCATTAAATAACCTACAGATTGGTATGCCACTAAATAAAATCAACCTACTAATTAAATCTAGTGGTACGTACTTTCAAACAGCATCCTATCTCAATGAGAAAATCAAACTTCCCTAAATTAAAAAAAAAAACAAAACTTTTATACATTCTTAGAAGATATGGTGGGTGCTGATTATTTTTTTTAGCTTATTTTAATGTTGAAATTAAATGTTGTTGTTACATTAAACAAATGAAATGTAGGGATTCATACTGATTTTATAATGAAATCCTTCTCCAGTCATTTTTCTCATTTTATTTATTTTTAAAGACTTTGAAAATACAATCTGATAGTCAACAACAAGTTTGCTATGAATAGCAACAACAAAATCCAATTCTACATTTTTTGTTTTTTTACACTTTATAAAATTTAAAATCTGTTTTTGAAATAAAAATGTCCCTTACAATTCAGATGATAGCATGTATTCTTGTTCATTCAAACATTCTTATATTATCAAAATGAGTTATTTTAAAATTTTCAGATCAAAAAATATTTTATTTTGCCACATGAAATTATTTGTTCCAAAGTACATTTTTGATTTGCCCAACCAAACTGTTGAGTCTATATTGTCAAAGGCCAAAATTATACTGACCCTTTTCTTCAAGAGGCAAGGGAAAAGAACTTAAACAAAATAAGTGATATGAGGTAGAAAAATAAATTGCTGGGCTTTATTAACATGAATGGGTGATTTGACTTGCAGGAAGGTCTTTTTAAATCAGTAATCACATAAGTAAAATCCCAATACCTATCACCTGCCAGTATACAAGCATTGTAAATTTTAACATTACTATTTTTTTAAAAATCTGATCTCCTTCATTTGCGTTATTAAAAAGCCCAGCAATTTATTTTTCTGCCTCATCATTGCTAGGGTTGGCTGAAGCAATTCAAAAGCCACCTGTCTACTTAAATAATAACCAAGACCTACAAGCTCATGTATCTAGAAGGCTTTCTTAATTAAGTATTAATGGCCTGACCTTTTTACTTGGCTTATCTCTTTCCTCCATTTTTTACACATGTATTTGGGTTTTTACAGTGCAGATTCAACTATTATTATAACATCTTACGGCTATTATAACAACATTCTTGGGCACTAATTAGCCAGAGGTAACCTCTGAGTTCTTCCTAGATGCACAAAGTAAAACAGTTAACTTCTGGCTTGGACAGACATGGCTTTTTGTGTCTCTGTTACATTTGTGGAAAACTGACTCATCATGTGGTGAGTCTCTGTATTCATGAGGAACTGGTTTCTTTCAAGTTGATTTGCATATGTACATAGTAACAGAAGAACAGGTTGAGTAACTTTGTCTTCAATTCCTATACCAGTGGAGTCAGCCAAATCATTGACTTTAATAGGCAATCAAGGCAGGATAGTGGTATTTAAAAAAAGTAACAAAATTCTTATTTGTGTGAATTTTCACCTAGCATGGTCCAGCTGGTTTATCTCTATTTTCATTTTTCTAGCAGTCAGTGGGGTTGAGGGATGGTTGCTCCTTTGTTTCACTTGATCCTAATAGTTGAAGCCCTGTTAAATTAGGAGTTCAAACCAAGATAATTACAGGTGTTAATATCAAATTAAGGGTTTTTTGTTTCTCCAACAGACTGCTAGTAAAACCAGATACTAGGCTATTTTGGTATGCTAGTCTATCTACATTTTTCGCATCAACTCATCAAATTAATATGAAATTTGTATACCTGGTATGTTGAGCTTACAGCATCAATAGAGACTTCTTTTTCTTCTCCATCAGAAAGTTGTCGTCCAAGGTTTGACTCCACTGAATGTCTTGATCTCATAGAGGAAAACTATCAGCCTAAAAAGTCGTATATATGTCTAGTGAAGACTAAAACATTGAATCATTTCAAACCTCTGCATATGTATAAGAAGGGGGATATGAGAACACTAATCTATTTAATCTCTTTCTAGATATATGTCCTGCATATATACAAGCACATATGTGAAAAAATGGGCCTTCATCCAGTAAACATTCCATACCATATTCCAAACAAATCTACTAATAGAAAATAGGGTTCCTGTTTTCCCTCCAGAGCCCACTGGGTGTATGATAGTGTTGATGGGTAGATGTGAGGGAGCTATGCTGATGACATAGTTGCTAAAAGAATCTTGAACAACAAAACATAAAGAAATCTATATCTATACATACTATTGCTATTACTATTTCAACTGGCACCAAGTATAGATTAATTTCTAAAATCCACACCAGTAACCCTGTTAGACTACTAATTTACTACTGGAAAATATTTTCTTAATCTTCTATGATGCAAGCTAAGGAAAAATCTGGAATGTACAGTAACTTGAGGCAGTAGAATCAGTGTAGATGATAGTCTAAAAGTGGTTACCCCTTGGATTTAATAATTAGTAAAGTTTCATACCTTCTTTGGTTTAATTAACTTCTACTAAGATAAGATGCTGAAACTATTTGACTCATTAGTGCAGTGGCTCCCAAAATTCTCTTTTCTCTGGGCCACATTTTTGGAATGAAAATTCACCCATGCCTCACCAAATTTTATGTGATAAAAAGTACATTTAAAAATAAAACCCACAGAGATGGTTAAAGGGAGATAACTGCAGATTCAAACTTATTAAAGATAACTCTCTCCTCCAATATGCAGACCCTAGTTACTATATTCTTAACTCTTGATATAATGCAAAAATATAACAATGATAAAATAAGTCAATAATTATTTATATTGGGACTTATGCATGCAGTTACAAGTTATCCATAATAATATTTTAAATTTGAAAATCATATTCATTTTTGGCATATGAATTTTTTGAAACTGTTTCTAAATCTCTGTCTTTCAATCATTTCAATGCACCTATAAGGCACAGTGCACTGTTCAGAAGCCACCACATGTCATCCAATTTTTTAAAATTTAAAATCTGCTAACCCAAAGATTACTATTAGCCAGTAATATAGAATAAGCAAAAAGAACTAACAATTTTAGGGAACTTTATGCAGTAACAGGTGAATTTTGTTAATATTTTATTGAATATATGATAAAACCCTTCAGGAAGAGAAAGTCTCTCTAACCCTAAGTGAGCTAGTAAGTTAGTTTTGAAAAGGGCATGCAACCGTTAATTTTTGGACAATTCGTTAAAATTGAGATGGTGACACCAAACTTTTTGCCTGTAAGTCTCTATATTTACCTTCAGTAACATGATAGACATGAACAAAAGTATTTCTAGTTTACTATTTTCAGCTTGTTAGTATCAGTTTTTTGGGGGGTTTTTTTGTATTTTTTTTTCTTTATTTAAAATTAATTCCATGTGTACCATTGACTTTTCAGGTCCATGTAAGCCGCAACAATGAAAATACTGTATTTACTGATTATCAATGCACAGCCACCAACAAGTTAGGACAGAAGGATATCACTATTACATTGAAACAAGCAGGTAAGGATCTTACTTATTTAAAGTAAATTGTTTTGTTGAAACAAAAATAATTGTTTATATCTTAATTTTCTATTTGCTGAATGGTTGGTTGCTGCTGCTGCTTGATTTTTTTTTTTCTGTTTTGCATTTGATTTTCAGTTGTTCCCAGAGCTCCCCAAAAGGTTTCTCACACTGATCTCTCACCCACTACAATCACTCTGATCATCTCAAAACCTACGAACAATGGTGGTATTGAAGTTGACCAATATCGCATTGAATATGCAACTGGAGGACATTACAATCACACAGATGTATTTGTTAGTAAGTAGGACTTTTCCTCGTTTGTTGACACCATTAGTCAATTTTTACTTTAAAATAAAATTTTAAGTTTGAAAGAACTTACAATTTATGTGTTATTTCTTCTTTTCTTAAAGTCAAAAAATGATGGCTTTATTTTCATGACAACTATAATTTTTGTACAATTCATAATTGTCATTTTTTGCTTTCTTTTTTCATTTTCCTCTTCTAGATAGTGATGCAGATGATGAATTTACAAAGGTTGTCCTTAAGCGACTTACTCCGGTAACCAAATACCAAATCAAAGTATTTGCTGGCAATGCCGTTGGCTTGAGCACAAAATCTTATGACCTTTCTGTAGCAACGTTGAATGTCAGTAAGTACCTTTCTAAAACCTGTTTACTTCAATTTGTTTAGCCCAGCAGAGTTGTAGAGCATCTAAGGAGGACTGAGCTGGGAATGGAATTATGAAATTTCCCAGCTCAGTGATAATCTATTGCCACTTTGGAATTAGATTTGAAGATGGCTTAAGAAGCTCATTCAGTTTCCTATATTGTTTTGTGAGAGAGCACTTCCCTGGTTTCTTTTCTTTTTTTTCTTTTCTTTTTTCTTTTCTTTTCTTTTTTCTCTTTTCTTTTCTTTTCTTTTTTCTCTTTTCTTTTCTTTTTTCTCTTTTCTTTTTTTTTTTTCTTTTCTTTTCTTTTTTTTTTCTTTTTTTTTTTTTTTTCTTTTTTTTTTTTTTTTTTTTTTTTTTTTTTTTTTTTTTTTTTTTTTCTTTTTTTTTTTTTTTTTTTTTTTTTTTTTTTTTTTTTTTTTTTTTTTTTTTTTCTTTTTTTTTTTTTTTTTTTTTTTTTTTTTTTTTCTTTTTTTTAAATTTTATTTCTGAAACACTGATTTATTCAAATTTGTTATCATCTTAGTTGTTATAATCAAGATGTTTGGGGGTCACTGCATCCTCCAGTCTTCTTGCAGTACCAATGATATTCAGTGACATTAAGTATTTAAAACCAAATAATTTAATCCATCGTTTATCTTGAAATATTCACAAGTATAGTGTGATATTTTTTTTTTTTTTTATACACAAAAAATATTGGGGGTTAGGTGACTGAAGTTTTTTTTTTTTTTTTTTTTCTTTCTGAAGGGGTTAAAATCCATGCAAAAAAAAAAAAATGAACAGGTTGCATTATACATGAAGTCAGCTTATACATGAATATATGCAGTATATTTGATTCCCATGGTGAAATTAGTCATTTCCATACAGGAAGCATTCAGCATTCAAACAGTCAGTGTTACTGTTGGTTGAAATTTATAGATTCTTTTTTTTTTTTTTTTTTCTTAAAACAGGAAATCAAACTTCTCAGATCCAGTGTTATTGTTTGTTCTACTATGGATGGGAGTTTCCTTCCTAACCTTTTGGTGAAGAGTGTTGGGAAATGTCAACATCTTAATTATATCATTATTTTTCCTTCTATTTTTTTTTTTTTTTTTTTCCATAAGCTAGACATTTTTGTTGTTGGAAAGACTACTCGCTCCACTGTTCATACAAAGGGAGGTAACTCTTATTAGCTACATCTAACTTCATTCGTTCTTTTGTTGCCACCTGTGTTGAATTAGAACAGAGGTTTCCAACCATTTTTGTGTCATCGTCCACTTTCATATGATAAAATTTTCCACCGCCCACATGTATATTAAATATTCAAATGCATACAGGGTTCGATAAATTATGTTTCAACAGGCACTTTTTCTACCTTGATAAATTTGAAATGGTTAATGTGATAAAAAAAAGTAAAAATAATTTTATATTAAATAAAAATTATCCTGAGGCCACACCTTAATTTTACTGGCAAAGTTGTTATTGGTCTTCCCTTATCTGATTTATATGCCCCCCAAAAAATGTTATTTCACCTGAAGATCTATTTGAATGTTAATAACCTTTCTCAAAACAATAGAAAATACCAAAATATTCCTTTACAGGAATATTTATATCTTTTCTAGGAATGTGAGTTAGTTATTCCCATAACTTTTTTTTTTTTTTTAATACAGGTTCTTTGAATATTTTGTTTGGGTAGTGTATGTTGAAATACCTTTTTAACACTCAAAATCCTATATCACACACCAAAATTTCCAATCGAGCACCATTTTCTGTCCAGTTTTTTATCGCCCACCAGTGGGCAATATTGCCCAAATTGGGAAACCCAGAATTAGAGTATATGGATTTCATTGGACTATTATATAGATTTGATTGAACTCACAACCATCAGGTAAAGCAATGCTTACATCCACTTAGATTGTAAGATAATTAAATGATGAAATTTTAAAGCCTTAAACTTAGTGTGTCGGGTCCTTGTTTAAGGGCTCCGATATGATATTAAATTCTTTGTTCAAACTTCCAGGGAGATTATCAGAGTATAGCATATGTGCGGATTTTTCTTATTTTCAAGCTTCTTTTTCTCCAATGGTTGCTATCAGTCTTTTCTGACTTTATTCTCATCCCCCTTTCTTCCTGCACATTATCAACCTGACTTGTCTCTTCACAAACTTTTTATGGCTCTTCTATAGAGCAGCCAATCTACAACAACTACATGAAACACTTAGACACAGTTTTTCAGTGGAGGCTTGACACATTGTAGAGCAATGATTAAATATAAACAAATGGCAGAACTGCCCAACAACAGAATTGACAAAGTTTGCAATAAACAAGAAAAAGAAAAGAAAAGGGGAAAAAAATAGTACAAAGCAAACAAAAAATATATGTATGGCAAATTAACAGTAATAAGGCAAAGCAAGAATAAATATGGCAAAAAGTTCACAAACTAAGAATTGGGGTTTGACACACAAGAGGAAATTTGAATAAGCAAATGTAGTGTTCTGACTTCAAGACAGACCGAGGTTATTTACCTTAGCCTCCCCACAAGGCAGGATGTGACACAAGGCTGTTTTTTATGTGGGGCAATTCTGAGCCAGTAGTCTTGGGCAAAAATTCCCCATAGACCCCATATACACAGGGTCAGGTTGTTTCTACCTCCACAAATGTGACCCTGCCCTTCATCATAGCCTCATCTGGGTTCCTCTCTGCCTGAATGCAGAGAGTTCGACAAGCCGTGAGCTAGGCAGTGAACAGCCTGACTCAGCAGATCTGGACTGAGTCAGATGAAACTGAAAACCAGCCTATTTTATTGGCTAGGAAAAAATTCTAGCATACATTTATGTGCTTCTGTCCATAAATTGTGGAGGGGGAATGTTTTTTTTTACTGACATTCCCACTGTGGATTGGGACCAATACCCTCATCCCTCAATCTAATGGATGAGTGTACTCATTTTCCCTCCTGTATCCCTCCACTTTAGCCAATAAATACAAACCAGATATACATAAATATTTACAATTGACTTGCATTTTTTTTTTTTTTTTTTAATTTATTTTCAACTTTCAATATTTCAAACGTTTTTTTTTATCATCATCATTCTTTTATTTTTCCAAAGAGCTTTTTAAATACTGATATTTATTGGGTCACAAATCTGAATCTTTTCCTACATGCCACTGATGTTATGCAAACAGATCATAGCAGCTTTCTCACAAGTCATCCACCTTTGCATCTCCATTCATAGAATCAAGCATCAAATTTATTTTTTTTTGTTTTTGGAGGGGGGGCTTCATAGTGTCATTCTGAAGGCTGATCTTAATAATGAACTTTTTAAAAACATTTTGTGTCTTAGTATTATAGACAATCTTTTTCTTCACACTGTATGAGAAATGGGAATCACTATTCAGTTATTATGCAATTACTATTAACCTGTGATATACAGATGCCTTGAACCCTGCCCCAGTAAATTAGAGACATTTACATTCCTGGATGTTGTGCTATTTCCTTTTCTATTGAGAACTCTATTAAACATCTTCCAATATTACCATTCACATCTGCCTAGTGAGGCCAGAGGATGTAAATGTCATCAGCTTATCTCAACCAGATGGTTGGCTTCATTGGTGTCATTCTGAAAAGTCATTTTCATCTTGGAAATTCAAATATAGAATCAACCTTTATAATCAACCAAATAATCAGACTGCTATTATTTCCTTTGTAATATAGTTTTTTTTGTTTTTTTTTCGTTGAAGTCTTGAATATAGAAACTGAAAATACTAACAAATTTAAAATCAATGAAACTTCTTTTTACTTTTGACTAAAAAGTTACTAGCCATTAATTTAAAGACTTTTTTTCTCCTTAAAAAAAGGATACAATGGCAGTTAAACAAGTTAGATTTTATATTCCTATTTACATTAATTAAACTTGGACTATTATCCTCATCTTTGTTATTATGATGAGAGATGATTTTGAATCTCAACAGGGTCGATTTATCAGGAAGGTATGATTTTATTGGCCTGGAAAGGAGATCCCAGCGTACAGCACCTTTTGGAAAGTGCCTGAAAATCATACCACAGGTTGACCTTAGCTTTGTGAATTAAATTGGTTAGATGGTACTATTTTGGGGGCAGTCGATAGTTGTGCTAGCACAGTCACAAGTCATTGTGACCGATAGTTTGAGAGTACTGGCCTTGTTCATGCTGTTGATCGTGCCTGATAATGTGCTCTCTCCCAAAGACTGTAATAAAGGGTCCATTCAGCGTATTTGCAGTATAAACCATAGATGGATCTCGTAGGTGTTGAACAAACACAAAATGTGTCTGAGCAGGCGTCTGCAACAGGGATAGGCTAGTAGCCAGGCATACTTGAATACAAGTGGCCAGCTGCCACTACTGTTATTATCATTGGGTGCTTTTCAATCCAATTAAGCATAAAGGAATTTCAAACTGAACCCTGAAGGTTAACCAGATTGACAAAAACCTGATGAAAGCCATAAGGCACAAAAACTAAAATATTGTGGTAATAAAATCTAGCAATAACTCCTCATCCCAGAAATTCAAAAAGAAATTTTATCTTCTCTACTGATAAGAAAAAAGGTTTGATTTTGAAACAACAGGTTCTTTCAGAAAATTAATAGGAATTGCATTTATTTGGTTGAATTCTGTAAAATATTCCTTGTTAGTTATTAAAATTATTAAAATACTTGGGGAAACATTGTTCTTTGATTTTAAAGAGTAAAATGAAATGATAAAAACTTGCTTCTTTTTTTAGTTCTTTTCTTTTACATTTTAACCTGCCTCTGATACAGGACCCCACCTCTCTATTACATTTCAGTTTTCATAATGTAGTATTTATATAAAAATACAAATTTTATTCAATTGCAACCTAATTATGTACAATAATCCTATGCAATATAGGTGAACCATTTAACTAGAAAATTTGAAAATAGATACAATATATCTAAATACAAATTAGAGATGTCATAATAGACATTTAACATAAACTTGAAATTTTTCT